AGGAAGTCTTTCATTGTCTTTAGCGGGCACAGGAACAAGAGCTCTGAAAGTGCCAGGGACAACTGCTAATAACACATGGGAATGAACTGGAAGCAAAGCCAGCATTGGACTAAGGAAACCCCGGCGCTAAAAAGGAGCCTTTGTATAACGCAGCTCATTATCATACAACTTTTCAAAATAATTAAAAGCGCAGAACTCTTAACTGTATTGGTTTTAGGCATTTCCTTGCAAAAAAAAGCCTGAAAATTTGCCAGCTAGGGTACAAAAAGACTCCTTGACTGCACTGTCAAGAACTGAATTTGTTGAATAAAAAGCTGCAACATATTTTGCTACTCCTAGCACCGCCCTACAGAGAGATACACAAGTCTGCTTTGCACACAGCAGGGCTCCAGAGACAGATTAACTCATAGGAGGTCACAACAAGCAAGGAAATCCTCTGGTATTCTAAAGAAAAGGAAAACAAACACGGTAAATATCAATGCTTTTCTTCCACGCACAGGTCAAACATCTGATCTAGTTAATAATTTAATATTTAACTGGTTTGCATCTTACTCGTGGTCTATTTTACATCTTACGGTAGAACCAATTTTCACATTCACACATTTTAAAGTGAGAAAGAACGCGTGGTTAATTTGCTGACTTTGTCCCTTTAAGTTGCTAAATATCATTTTAGAGATTAAAAAAAATGAAAAAACAAAACCCATACGATGGAAAAACAATATTAGTGCCTAGATAATATATAAAGGCAATTACATTATTATTTTAGGCAACTGTAAATTTCTGGATCTAATATATTTTTGTTACAAACTTACTAAATGGCATTTATAAAATAATAATGATACTGAAATATACATGAATCATGTAAAGTATGGCATTCCAGGGAGCCAATGAAGTTGGTCACCGACAAATAATATTCCTTCACTGCTTTGCTTAAAAGAGGACTGTCATTCCAGGAAAAAACTTTAAATGTATGTCTTTTGCCTCATTTCCTAATTTAAAAAAAAAACACCAACCAACAACAAAAACCTGGTTTAAATAAGGGCTTGCTCTTTTCTCGCACATCCTTCTCTCCGTGTGAGCCTGAACGAGCACTGGCAGAATTAGCTACCTAATTTTGTAGAACACTAAACACTTTTCATTGTTGGTGGTGCTCAGCACGCCACAGGATGAGGCTGCTTTACGTTATCGTGGCGTCAGAAAGAGTCAGCGTGTTTTCCTTACGAATAACGGGCAGGAGCAGGTGCATTAGCAGATAAATTACTTGGGAGCTTATACGTTCGCTACGCTTAACATTAATACAGAAAGAAAGTCCCCTTCGGTCATTATCTTTTACTCACAACGACGGGCAAATAATGGTCGAAAAAGAGGCAGCCATCAGCTCATACCATACCCAGTACGTCACACAGCCTTCCCATCTGCGTGTTCTGTTGGAGAGCAAGATCAGGAATCTGCTCACGGATACACTGGGAATATCCTGGAAAACAAGTAAAACACCCCCCCCCAAACTGTATTCAGAACCCCTCTGGTACATATTGGAAAGAAATCAGGCTTTTGGATCAAAAAAAAAAAAAAAAAAAGCTATAATGATAGTGTTTCAAATCCCAACCATGGTAGAGCACTAATTGCATCATCTTTATGAATTTCCTTTTATTAGTGAACAGATGTAACATGATGGGTTTATGTCGTGAGATTTTAAATACAGACCTAAACGTTACAGACCTATAGAGCTTTATGATTTAAACATGTAGACTATTTTGTTTGAGTTTTCTGCATTGCTGGATTTATTTATTTATTTATTAACACTGAAAAAACCTGACAGCATCATTACGTGAGAATCCTGGTGCATTTTTTCATTCACACGGATAAAAAGACAACAAACTCCCTTGATTAAGGAGGCGCCTCAGTGATACCTGCTCATTTGGTGGCAGAGGATGACGGAGCGGCAGCCTGCCTGCGCGTGGATTGTCGGTTTGGAGGTCAGACTTCCAGCTGATTGCGTACTCGCATGCGAAACCACGGCAGCAAATGACATGATCGCTGTAACAATAATCTCTAATCCTGTAATGCTTAAAGGCAGCTAATTCTAAAGTAATCGGGGTGTGTTTACACAAACACACGCAACCACGCGATGCGAGTTGCTGGTTGCAGTAGCTGTGATTGAATTGATAGAAGTTTAAGTCTAACATTCAGTGCATAAAATATTGACCGATCCGCTAACGAGATCCGCATATTTCGGTGTATCTGCACGCAATCAATCATTTGAAACTTCTGGAAGATTTAGTTGGACTGAAATCTGCTCAGTGTTCCAGTCCTTCCGTTTTGGAAGACGTAATAGTGGATCTTCCAGGCGAGTGATAAAGGACAATTATAATCAGTCATCAGCACCCTAAGGTGCTGTGGCGGTGATGCTTTGCACACGAGGACAGCAGAACGTCATAAAATACAAGGAAATGGAAATCACCCAGTTAATTTTTAGTAACTTCTTGTAAAACTTACACATTGTAGTTAGCACGATCAGAACATCACTGCAAGATATCATTTTTTTTTGCCGCTCTAATACTAAGCTACGAGAATTCGAAAAATCTTGCTCTTGTTACCTAAACTTTGGTTTCAAGGCTCCGTTTTGTTCCACTAACAATGGTGCCTGACAATTTCAAAACATCTAAATTTTAAAAATAGAAATTAGTTGATTTCCCTGCCCTAAACTTGAAAACGCTTTTTTTTTTTTTTAAGAATTGAATCTGGGCAGAAAAATGACATGCAAATATCACCTCAAAAATCAGCTATTACCTGAAAGGCATAATAGCGAAAGTAGCAACTGAACTGAAGTTAAAACTTGCATGTTGCTACAGTCCTGTAGATACACTAGAGCATTATACCAACGGCTAAGCACACTTCTCTTAAATATGTTAATAAAACATTAATTTGCAATACATTAGCTTCCATCGACATGGCCCTATTAGATCTAACAAGAAAAATACCCACTTGTGAAGCATTTACCTTCCAATGGACATTATGAACCACATTAATCCCCACACTCGATGCATTTTGAACGCTCTGTACTTCCATGGCTGCTCACCTGACAAGACTTATTAAAGGCAGAGGCTTTATATTCCTTTCCTTGCCATTTAAACAAAATTCAACCCAAATGAATTACTCCTCCTGTGACCAAAGTCAACATGTTCCAGCTCAGCTCTAACCTGTGCCATCGTTTCTGCTGCGTTACGCACAGCTGGTTTCTGCATCACTAACATTTTGCACCACAGCATTTGGTCTCAAACGCAGGAAACATTTTGGATAAATCTGTATTTGCCAGGAGCCAAAGCTCCTGTTTTGATTCCAAGAATCACTACTTCAGCTGATCTATAACCCGCAGTCTGGGTAAGCGAAACTCCAAAGGGGTGCGTGCAAATAGCGATGCTGACAAAAGCCGGCGGTGGCAGAGGGCTCGAGAATCCGGCCCCTCGTTTGCACGAGGCATCGGCACCTCACTGGCAGAGCTGGCCCAAGCAACGTTGACTTTGCGGAGCCAGAACCAAGAATTTTCTGATTTCTGAACCCATTTCTCAGTTCAGTGGCACTGAAAGGACACCGAGGGCTTTCCTCCTTCACGGGAGTTTTATGGCAGTGTCCGTCAGTAGAACGTTCCCAAATTCACGCAGAGGGAAGTGCCGGGAGAATTGCAGAAGCACTACTAAAATAAGGGCCGTATGAATCAATGGCAACGGGGAGCTTTTGCCTCCTCGTTCAACCTCAGCCATGACCTAATGCCCTTTA